CCCCCCGAACCTCCTTATCACCCGAAGGGTGGTCGTATAGGTATCCGAGGGCGCTGAGAAGCGCGCCGTCATTTTTGGCTTCTTCAGGTGGAGTTCAGCACGTCGGCCTATGGTTCCCTGCGCCGCCCAGTTGCACCTATTCGCTGGGCGAATCAGGACCGCTCGCCTCCTCCGATTTCATGGTGGGGACTTGTTTATCTGGCATGCATTCCTCCACATACGCCTGAGCAGACTCGACCAGGTTCCGGTTCCGCGCTCCAGGCTGCCCTGTAACAACAACAACATCCGTAGCCATTTTGGCTCAAGGCCCGGAGCGGCGCGGGGACGATCGATCTGCGGGGGGCACGGCGGCCCTCTGACGCACGGCGGCCCACCTCGGCCCTCCGGGGCCGCCGCCGCCGCCGGCCTGGCCGGGCAGCTCGGCGGCGATGCGGCCGCTCGCCGCTCTGCGCAGGCCGCGCGGCCGCCGGGGGCTGGCAGCGCTGGGGGTGGGGGCCTGCGCCCTGCCGCGCCTGGCGCCGCTCGGCCTCGCCCGCCTGCGCTGTGGGCCCGGGCCCCGGCGCGGGTGCGCGCGGGCCGCCGCGCAGCGGCGCGCGAGCCTGCGGGTCGGCGAGCCGGGGGCGGAGCCCGCGCCGAGGGTCGCGTGGTCCTACTGGGACAAGGGCTTCGACGCACTCTCCGACTTCCGGAGGCTGTGCGTGGAGACGTGGGAGGCCCAGAACCCCGACTGGGAGGTCCGGGTGCTGGACAGGGAGTCCGTCTTCGACTACCTGGAGCCGGCGGCGCTGCCGCGCCTCTGGGGGGAGATGTACGTGCCGTGGCAGGCGGACGCCGTGCGGCTCGCCCTGCTGGCCCAGTACGGGGGCCTCTGGATCGACGTCTCCACCATCTGCCTGCGGCCCTTCGGCGGCTGGATGTACGACGCGGTCGCCTCCGCCGAGAGGCCGGAGGGCATCGGGGCGTTCTACTTTGCCGCGTGGGGGGTGGACATGCACGAGAGCAGGGAGTACGTGGAGAACTGGCTCATCGCCGCGCGGCGGGGCCACCCCATGATACTGGCGTGGAGGGACGTCTTCAACGGGTACTGGGACAGCAAGCGGCGCGCCGATGCCATGTCTATTTTTCTGGATCCGCCAGGCGTGCCAGAGCACCCGCTGTTCGAGGGGGTCGACCTGGGGCACCTGAAGAGGTTCGGGCAGGACCTGCGGAACTACCTGCTGATGCACGCGGCCTTCAAGAAGCTCATCGACGAAGACCCCGGCATGCGGCGCATCTGGCGGGAGGAGATGGTGCTGCTGCGCGCCGAGGACACCGCCTTCTGGCACATGGAGGAGCCCCAGGTCGCCTGGAGCGTGGACGAGCTGCTCTGGCGGCTCCTCGGGCCGTGCGACGCGCGCTGGCTGGCGCGCGTGGTCGGCGGCTGCCCCGTGCTCAAGTTCACCCGGGAGGCCGCGAACGCGCTGGACCCGGTGCCCCGCGACCGCTGCCTGGCCGCGGCCACCGGCCTGGGCGAGGTGCTGCGGGCGGCGCTGCGCCCCGCCAGCGGTCGCGGCGGCGCGCCGGCGGGGGGCGCAGGGAGCGCCGGGGGCGCACCGCGCCGCCCGCGCGGGTGGCCGCCGCGCGCTCCTTGACAAAAAAAGTTGCCCTGTGACATCGCCTTCGCTGGAGACGCCAAATGTGCGAACGTTGGTCTCGTAGCGTGTTTGATGTTCCAGTGCATTACTTTGGGGATGGATTGTGTTTCCCAGCTTCCAGCGCTCTACCCCTTGCACAAGTCCCTTCGGCTTCACCGGATCAGGCACGCTAACATTCATCACTCTGCATAGCCAAGCCAACCAAAACCTCCGTCTTCCTCCCAACCTCCCCTCCTCCCTCGTCAACCTCCTCCGCCGCATCCTCGCCCTCCACCTCTTCCCTCATCCCCCGCTCCTCCCCCCCACCGTCGAGGCCGACGGAGGCCCCCTCAGGCGTCCTCAGGCGTCCAGAGGACTCCCGGGGCCCAGGAAGAACCAACAATGCATCAACACCTTGACCCTCGAACCTCGAAGCTCGGTCCTCCTCCCCCCTCCTCCCTCCCCCCCCCTCCCCCCTCCCGCCCCTCCTTCGCTTCCTCCCTCCTTCCCTCCCCCCTCCCTCTCTCCTCCCCCCCCTCCTCCCCGCTCCTTCCTCTTTCTTTCCATCTTCCCTCCCTCCCTCCTCTCCCCTCCCCTCTCCCTCCCTCTCTCTTCCCTCCTCCCTCCCTCTCCCCCCCCTCCCTCTCTCTCTCCCTCCGCCCCGCCCGGGCCAGCCCCCCCGGGAGCCTGCCCCCCCAGGTGGCCCACGACAGCGCGAGGCCCGCGGCGCCCCGACGCGCTGGCGCCCCGCTCGCCCCCGCGCGTGCAACGGGTGCACTCCCGCCGGAGGTGCCCACGTTGGGGGGCCATCGTGTGAGAATCTTTTGAGGCGTGCCAGACCCAGACCTCCTCGAGTAATGGAAAAATCATGACGGGAGGTTTTTCACCATTTTCGGCCTCTGGGGGCCCTCACCGGGCCTCGGGAGCGTCAGAAAACGACTCAGGATGACAAACCGGTCCTGGGGAAGGGGTCGAGAACTCTGGGGTCGACGTAATGGAAAAATCATTACGTCGGGGGTCTGGGGAACACCATTTTCATGACGTCAACGCCACGGGTCAGCCTGACTGCTGCGCTCTGTTGAACCCGAATCGCGCCAGGACGCCACTCCTGCAGGTCCAGCACCGCGAATAGGAATGACTGCTCCGCCCTGACAGCCCTGAACCGCTCCGAAACACCATTTGTGCTACGTTAGCCATGAGAACCAATGAAACTCTTGTAATCTGTTTAAGCAAATGCGTGCGGCGCTAAGGCGATAACCGAATTTTGAAAAGGAACCGCCCAATCCGTCAAGTTTCGCATTTTGTTTGCAACGGATGTGCGCGGCGCTGAGGCAAGAGCCAATTTTGAAGCCATCAGTCCGTAAAGCCCTCGCAATTGCTTGACAAAGGAATCTGCGCGGCGCTAAGGCGAGAGACAACTTTTGAAAAGGAACTGCCCAGCCACATGTTGAAAACGACCTGCCCTCATCCCGTTAAACTTTGCACATGTTTGAAACGAATGCGCGCGGCGCTAAGGCGAGAGCCACATTTTGGAATCGACTCGCCCTCCATCTGTGAAGCTGCTGTCATTGTTTAAGCTTTAGGTGCGACAGGAAGAAGTTATTCGTGAGGAAAAGGAGTGGAGGAGGAACTCTCTGGATGAAGAAGAAGAGGAGGAGAGGAGGAGGAGGAGAATGCAAGAACGCCACAGGTGCTTTCCTAAGGTTTGTTTAACGTAGAAGAAAAGGAGGAGGATCATAACAAGGTTCCGATACCAATCCATGCCCATTCGTCGCCGCGGCTGGATTCGCCTCGAAGTCCTGGTCAGACCGCGCCGCTGGAGAGGTCTGGAGAGTAGCGGTATACCGGTACATTGTCGGGGGGGGGTGGGGGGGGCGACCCGCTCTCGACATGCACGAAGACTTGGCATCGCTCGAGCGTGTGCGTTTCTTCTCGGCGAGGACCATCGAGGAGCATCTTGGATCATTCAGCGGAGCGTACACGCACGACGCCGAAAAATGCACGGGGAATGGACGTCCGAGCGATGGCGAGAAGGGGGGGAAGGGGGGGGGGGCGCAGCTGATAGCGGGGTGGGCGGGGGTGGGGGACGGCCCACGTTCGCAGGCCTCGAGGTTGACACCAACATCGGCTGTGTGCCTCCATCGAGGGAAGAAGATCCCGATCTCGGTGATGGTGGTAATATTCTGGCTTCCAAGGTGGCCGAACCATCACCACCAACACCGAAATCTCGGATCATTTTCCCCCTGTGGAGGCAAACTCCTTGTGTTGGTGTTGGTGCCCATTTCCAGGCCTCCTAGGGTGGGCGGGGGTGGGGGACGGCCCACGTTCGTCGTGCACGAAGGGGGGTCAGCGACCCCAGGCAGGCCGGGGCGGGCGTACAGGCGGCCCAGATCAGTAGGTCGACCCTGCCAGATCAAGGGTACCCTCGTGTCCTGTGTCTTGCGACCCGTGCCTCCTGCATTCCTGTGGCATTGTGCCCCTCGGAAAGGGTCTTTTGTCCTCCCGCGTGTCCTCTCCAATCATAGGGGAACGAACAATGACATAGACATAATAGCTCGGAGGTCCGCGCGGAATTCTCGGATCGGCGCTGGGCCCCCTGCCGCCCCTGGCGCGCTCCGCGCGCCAGGGAGGGGGGTCCAGCGCCGATCCGAGAAATCCGCGCGGACCTCCGAGTTTTGATGTTTATGCCACTTCTTGTTCCCCTGAATCAGCCCTGACTCCGGATCTGGAGTCAATTGCAAAGTGGGGCGGGCGGAGCTGGAGTCGGGGCAGTCCGACTGCAGAGCTGCAGCAAGCGATGGGCCGTCGATGAGCCCTGCTTTGCCACCGCAGTGCCGTGGCCGCGAGGCGGCGTTGGGCACCGCAGAGGCCACGGAGCGGGTCGCCCGAGGCACGCGCTCGGGCGGGGCGCGGGGGCGGCGCCCCTGGCCCATCGGGTGCTCGCGGCGCCAGGCACCTGGCACCGCTCGGACGTGTGCATTTGGTTTTTTCTCGGCGAGGGCCATCGAGGAGCCTGTTGGGCCATCTTGGGAATAATGCGCGCACGAAGCCCTGAAAGCGCACGGGGAATGGCGATGGCGAGGACAGGGAAGGCTGCAGGCTGCAGGCGCCAGGCACGAGAGGCCGCCCTGGACTCGACTGCGTTCGTGGCGTGGCGTCCGTCCCCGAGCCGCGCTTCTGGGCCGGTGTGGGAGGTCGCCGCGGCGATCGCGGCGGCCACGGATCGGGGCACCGTTATCGGGGCACCGTTGTTATCAGGGAGCGGCGTGCCCCTTTCCAGCACCCCTCCGCTCTGCGATGTAGACGCGGCTCATCACTGCCTGCTGACAGAGAGTTGTCAGTGCATGTCCTGCATGGGCTTCCGTTCTTTTTTGTGAGGGCCTCCGTAGGCATTTGGGCTCCAGGCAGGCCCCGGGCGTCCGGCACCCCCCTCGCGGCTCATGCTGGTGGTGCCGCGGTGCGACCGCGACTCGCCTCGCGAGGAGGAGTGCGAGGATGTCCTCGCGCAGAAGCGGGAGGCCAACATCCGCCAGCGGGAGGAGTGCAGGAGGCTGAGGCACGCCGAGGCGGTGGCGCAGAAGAAGGCCGCCTGGCAGCGGGAGGCGGAGGGCCGCGAGGGGCGTCTGCAGGGCGCGCGCGCGGCCAGGAGGCAGGAGCTGCAGGAGGCGCTCGCCCAGCGGGCCGCCGCCGCGCAGGAGCGGCGGCAGAAGGATCTGCTCCGAGAGCACGCCATCGACCAGAAGCTGCGGTCCTGGGAGGACAGGGAGAACCAGAGGCTTCACCAGATGTGCGCCGAGGCCGAGCAGGCGAAGATGCTGAAGGCGTCCTCGCGAGAGCACCAGAAGTCGCTGCGCCTGCAGGCGGCCCAGGAGGCGGCGGCGCGACGAGCCGAGGAGCGGCGGCGGCGGGCGGAGCTGGAGCGGCGCCGCGAGGAGAGCCTCGCCCGCAGGGAGGCGGAGCGGCAGGCGCGGGCGCCCGAGGGCGCTCCGGGCGACCCGCGCGCCCCGGCGCCGGCCGCGGCGGCCCCGTGACCTCGGGCGCGGCGCCCGCCTCGCGAGGGGGCGGAGGAGGAGGAGGAGGAGGAGGAGGAGGAGGAGGAGGAGGAGGAGGAGGAGGAGGAGGAGGAGGAGGAGGAGGAGGAGTGAGTGTGCTTGGGGAGCGTTGTTCAGGGAGGTGTCTTGCCCTCTGCGGTGCTAGGTGGAGCCAGCCTTCGTGAACTGTGCGACTGGCCGTCCAGGACCGGACGTTCTTGAGGGGGGCCGCGCCCATCCGCAGGGGCGCCCCGCTCCTGGCGTGCCGACGCGATGCCGACGCGCATAACTCGTGCGGCGTCAGCGGCTTCGCGCCGGCAGAGCAAAAAAAGATGTGAGGGCTCGACTTTCGCGCTGCCACGCCCGCAGCCGCCTCCCAGTTCTGGGCGCTCCCCTGCCCCCATCCAGCGCTCTGCTCTCCCCGTGGCATCGCTGGGACGTGCGCGTGTTCTCTCGGCGCGAAGCATCGAGGGCCGTCCTGGAGCAGCGGGCAACAAAAGGCACACGCACGACACCGAAACGGGCGCGGGAAGCGGCCGTCCGAGCGAGACGGCAAGTCCCTGCCGTCTGCCTCATCCGGAGGAGGTGGAGGAGGAGGAGGAGGAGGAGGAGGAGGAGGAGGAGGAGGAGGAGGAGGAGGAGGAGGCGCTCTCCCCCCCCCAATCCGCCTCTGCCACGCCCTGCCGCCCTGGCCGTGCTCGGGGGGGTCGGACCTCTCTCCTCCGCCTCGCCCCCCCCCCCCCCGCCGCCCCTCCTCTCAGGAGGGACAGGTAGCACACAGACGCAACGAATCGTCGATCCCCCAGAAGATGTGGGGAACTATGGGAAGTGGGGGGGAAGACAAGAACCCAGAAAATATAGGAAAATGTGGGGAATCCGGCTATTTGTGCATATTTCCTTGCGTGTCCCAGGGCCCCCTTCCCTCTCTCCTCCGCCTCGCCCCCCCCCCCCCCCCCCCCCCCCCTGGCCCCCGCTGCTTCCCGCGGCGCCCTCCCTCCCGAAGGTCCTCGTTCCGCAAGGGCCGGTCGAGCAGCCAGTGCTCGCTCGCGTCGACGGCGCTGCCGTCCACGGCCACGAGCAGGCAGCGGCGCGGGGGTCTGGCGTCTTGACCGCTCTCCGGCCGGTTCCACGAGCGAGGGAGCACGATCATGAGCATCGGGAGGGGGAAAGAGGGGGGTGACGACTAGGGGGGGGGGATCTCATGGGGGCCTTCATGTCTCCCCAGATGTCATGGCGCCTCTTCTTACTTCAAGACGTCCCTGGCCCCCCCCCATGGGCCGCGCACGTGCCGCGGGCCATGAGTTGCGCCCCCCCCCCCCTCTTGGACACCCCCCTCTTGGCCGCCCCCGAATGAGTATCAGGAGGGGGAGGTGGGGAACAACGCCTACGGCCGGACCGAAGTCTAAGATCGAGGTCGGCTCGGAGAGGGTACCCCTGTGTTCTTCATGCTTGCCGTATGATTTTGCGCATCCGGGGGAAGGATATCCTCGGTGATCTTATGCTTTGGGGTGTCTTGGCTGGCGGATGGTCTCGTGCTCTTGAGGGATGTGATTATGTCCGCGGTCCGGCTGCAGCCTGTCAGCTTGTCTGCGAGGGCTCTGCCATGCAGGGCACGGAGCGGCGAGGTCTGGCAGTGTCTGAGTCGAGCTGAGGTCGGGCTGCGGCTACGTGGCCGGGGTCCTGGTCAGTCAGATGCTGTGTGTCGAAGAGGAAAGTGCATAAAGCGTAAATTTTCGGAGGTCAGCACGGATTTTTTGGATCCGCGCCGAATCCCCTGGCGGCGCCTCCAGCGCTGCCCCTGGCACGCTCCGCGCACCAGAGAGGGTGGGTCAGCGCCGACCCCAGAAGTACGCAAGGACCTCCAATAGTTTTATGTTGACGCAGTTCGTTCTTCTTCCGTGAGGGCGGCGCGGCATCGCAGAGGGCAAGAAGGCGCACCTCGCCCTGGGCAGCACGCGCCCTCCAAAGAGTGGGAGCGCAGTGGCTGTGGAGGATTCTTTCCTGCAGAGCGTGGTGCGGAAGAGGACGGTGTAACGGGCACGTGGCGTAACGGACGCGCGCGCATAGCAGGGCACAAGCCAGCCGCAATATGGAGACATGATGTTCGGGGTCCGTGGAGGAAGTGCGGTGTGAATTGGGGGGAGGGGAGGGCAGAGTTCCACACGCACACGCCCACGTCGCCGCTCCGAGGTCGTGACCTTTTCGCAAAGCCGGCCCCCAAAATGCGAAAGTGCGCCACTGGAGGGACCCTGTTATTGAAAACGAGGGAGGATCCGACCCCCCCCCTTCAAAGGGGGGGTGAGATTTTCGACCCCCCCCCCTCCCTTGAAGGGGGAGGGGGTCTGGACCCCTCCCCCCCCCTTTGGCGCTGGAAAGGGGGGGGGGGTTCGAACCCCCCCCCCTCCACCCCTTTGCGCCCGACAGAGAGCCGGGGAGGGGGCCTCTCCCGCTGCTCCTTTCTGCGCTGGAGAAGGTGGGTAGGAAGTATGGAGTAGGGAATAGTGAGTTGTGAGCAAGTAGTGAGTAGTGAGTAGCGAGCAGAGAGTAGCGAGTAGTGAGTAGTGAGTTGTGACTAGTGATTAGCGAGTAGTGACTAGTAGTGACTAGTAGTGAGTATTGAGTAGTGAGTAGTGGGTAGCGAGTAGACAGTGGTAAGTACGAGTAATGAGAAGTGAGTATTGAGTAGGGAGTTGTGAGTAGTACGTAGTGAGTAGTGGGTAGTGAGTAGTCGGTGGTGAGTAGTGAGTAGTGGGTAGTGCCTAGTGAGCAGAGAGTAGTGAGAAGAGAGTAGTGAGTAGTTGGTAGCGAGTAGTGAGTAGTGAGTATTGAGTAGTGAGTAGTGAGTAGAGAGCAGCGAGTATGGGGTAGTTCGTGATTAGTGATTAGTGAGCAATGAGCAGTGAGTAGTGAGTAGTGGGTACTGAATGGTGCGTAGTGAGTAGTTGGTAGTGGTTAGTGGGTAGTGAGAAAAGTGAGCAGCGAGTAGGGAGTAGTGAGTAGAGAGTAGTGAGAAGCGAGTAGTGGGTAGTGAGTAGTGAGTAGCGAGTAGGGAGTAGGCAGTAGTGAGTAGTGAGTGGTGAGTAGCGAGTAGGGGGTAGCGGGTAGCCACATATGAGTAGCAAGTAGTGAGTCGAGAGTAGGGAGTAGTGAGTAGTGTGTAATGGGATGTGAGAAGTGGGTAGCGAGCAGTGATTAGTGAGTAGTGGGTGGTGAGTAGTGAGTAGTGAATAGTGAGTGGTGAGCAGTGCGTATTGAGTGGTAAGTCGTGAGTAATGAGTAGTGATTAGTGGGTGGGGAGTAGTGGGTTGTGAGTAGCGCTCTAGTGAGTAGGGAGTAGTGAGTGGTGAATAGGGAGTATTGAGTAGCGAGTAGGGAGTTGCGAATAGTGAGTAGTGACTAGGGAGTACTGAGAAGTGAGTAGTGAGTAATGAGTAGGGAATCATGAATCGTGTGAAGTGAGTAAGGAATAGGGAGTAGTGGGTAGTGAGTAGTGAGTCGTAAGTAGTGGGTGGTGAGTAGTGAGTATTGATTAGCGAATACCGAGTAGGGAGTAGCGAGTAGTGAGTAGTGAGTAGCGAGTACCGTGTTGGGAGTAGTAGAGAGTAGTAAGTAGTGAGTTCTGAGTAGTGAATACTGAGCCGTGAGTAGGGAGTAGTGAGTAGTGGATAGTGTTTAGTGAGTAGCGAGTAGTGAGTAGTGAGTAGTGGGCAGTGAGTAGTTCGTAGTGAACAGTGAGCAGTGAGTATAGAGTAGTGAGTAGTGAGTAGGGATTAGGAAATAATGAGTAGGAAGCTGTGAGTGGTGAGTAGTGGGTATTGGGTAGTGAGTAGTGAGTATCGAATACTGTTTGGGGCTAGGGCTAAGGGTTGGGTTTAAGGTCTGATGTTAGGGTGAGAATACGGGTTGGGGGTGGTAGGGGGTGGGCGGGTTCTGAAGTCAAGGGGCGGCGTGGCGAAAGGGGAAGAGGGGGTTTCGAGCCCAAGGGACGGGGGGAGGGCTTCCCGACAACGGACCAGGAAAGGGGTGGGGGGTGTTCCCCGACGACGGACCGGGCAAGGGGAGGGGGGGGGGTCCCCGATGACGGATCGGGGAAAGGAGAGGGGGGGTCCCTCCCCCGCCCCCCCCTGGGGGCATCCAGCGGCACGCCCTTACAAAATGCCTGGGCCCCTTCCACTGGGCCTGTTTCGCGAGCTGTTTTGTTGACGGCCCCGGGCCCTGGCAAGGGCCCCTGCAGGCCGAAAACGGCCAAGAACTTTCCATCGTGCTTGTTCTCACCCGGAGCCTCTTACCTGGCGGGGCAGGACGGGTGGTGGCGGTGGAGAGGCGGCGCGGGGAAAGGTACTCACACAGCCATCT